ATTAATGCAGAGTCTGAAATTCTATGGAGTGTGTTCACTTGGAACAGAAACTGACCACAGTGCATCATCCACATTAACAAGAGTTAAAAACTGACCTGACAGTAGTAGGATTTCCAGTACACCTACCGATATAGGAAGATCATCACAGTCTTAATCACTGAAGGTATTAGACTATGTAGATGTACAAAGGAAATATATATATTTGAGATATTCACTTATGATACTGTGCATTAATAGGTTATTAAATATGTATAGCAATGGCTACATATTCTGACATGTACATGGCATCTCGTTTTTTGTAGATTATATATTTTACTCTGTTTTATGTAGAAGTGGAGTCCTTTTAAAACCGATATGTGTATGTTAAATAGATCTATTTTTTTAAACTAACATGATAACAGTGTTCACACATACTTTCTAATTAAAAATAACTTTATCCTTATCAAAAATAGTCTGTGGCAAAATGGGCCCGATTAAAATTTGCTGAAGACTGAGCAGTGAAAGTGTGAAGTAAAAAATGGAGAGGACCGACCGATAAGTGGTTCACACACTCCTACAGCGAGTTCCACAGTTGTTATTTCAAGTAAAGAGAAAAGTTTGTTAGATGTGTAACTTTGAAATGTGTAAAGAATAATCAGTTTTGGCAACCACTTCCTTTTTTCTTTTATAACAGGTGTTTGTTGTGACACAGCATCAACACGCCTCCCCTCCCCCCTTTTCCACTGCGCTGTCCTCACACGTTTTTTCCTCTAGAGAGTAGGGAATGTGCTTTTCCATCCAAAGTATTTGGAGGGTCCGCACGTCATTCAAAGTGCCTTGTAAATTTTTATGTTGACCAGGGAATGGCTGTGACTGTGATAGGTGTGGCACCAACTGCCACATGAATTAAGTGGGCAAGGCACTGGGGCAGTTTGGGTCAAATGGGTGTGTCAGAGACCAGATGGTCAGTACCATGGGTCAGATGGACATGACACAGGGTGTCACTTAGGTCAAGTGGGCGTGGCACCAGGTGTCATTGGTGACATGGGTGTGGCAAAGGGTGAAGCATGTTTCCAATAGACAAGGTTCTTGGTACTCAGTTGGCTTGCTTATTCTCAACTGTCAGTTTTTGATGGGGCCATAGCAATAGTCCGAAGGTTCAATAGTCCGAAGGTTCATTGGTCCGAATGTTCGCTATAGAACCTTCGGACCAATGAACCCTTGATTAAAAAAAATGATGAAAAAGTTACCATTTTTCGGACCAATGAACCTTCGGACCAATGAACCTTCGGACAATCAAGACGCCCCCGTTCTTGATCACAGGTGGGTGTGGCCCAGGGTAGGAGGTGGATCAACTTGGCATGTTATTAACTGTCACAGATCATGGGAAGCTGCAGCCATAGTTTAGCAGGTGGGTCAGGTACAGGTTATAAACTGTCAGTGACAGACCACAGGTGGGTGTGGCCCTGGGTAGCAGATGGGTCATCTGGTGTGTTATAAACTGTCAGTGATGGACCACAAGTGGGTGTGGCAATAGTAGACAAGGTCCAGGCTGTCAGTGGGAGGGAATACAGGGTCATCTGGTGTGTTATAAACTGTCAGTGATGGACCACAGGTGGGTGTGGCAATAGTAGACAAGGTCCAGGCTGTCAGTGGGAGGGAATACAGGTGGTATGTTATGAGATGGTCGGCTAGCTGCTACCTAAACACTGGAGGCACTGTTCAGTATCCTGAAAGTTTCCACAGACACTTCTAGTTAGTTGTACTTACTGGTTAGCGCACCATTGCTTCAATTCTTAGTAAGGATTGGGTATAGCAGAAGCAAAAAAAAAAAAAAAACTGAAACTATGCAACTTTATTGTTAGCAACTTTTTAATTCATCTGTGATAACTATGTGAGTTAAGAAAGAGAGCTTTGCATGCAGTATAAAAATAACATCACCAAAATGTCTGTATATTTAAGGATAAAAAACAATTTAATGTTATGATTGATGTTTTGTTTAAAGAGTTGATCTGAAGCAATTACTTTCAATGTACATGCTGATGTCTGAAAAGTGTCTTTTAATGGCAAGAACAGTAGCTGACAGAAAGCAGGCCAGCGGTGTTTGAGTATGGGGACCATTTACTGAAAGATAACGACCTCTGTTTGTTTTTATAACAACTTGAGACTTCATTTTATGTCAAACAAATGTACATCATCTTCACTGACTCCAATAGCTCTGCTGATTTGCCATGGTAAATTGTTTATACTACGGACAGTTGTCAAATTATACCTAACCCCAGCAAATACTATACACATGTCTAACTTTCTAGGTATGGTAAACAGAGGGAGTTTTTTTCTTGATAAATGTTTTTTTTGAATGTTATTAGATTGTGAGTAAAATGGGAAGATGTATTGAAACTGTTGATATAGGACCCTATCACATGGAGACACAAGATCTGAGTAGTACAAGGTAAAAGCAGGTTATCCCATCTCCTCTATGTTTTGTGTATTTTTTCTCGCTTTGTGGGTGGTATCCGTTGGTATCTTCCTGCTCACTCAGGTATCACATGATAAAACCTGGTACCTTTTATCTCGCTTGTGTCCATTTAAGGCTCCAGCATAATTTCTTTCATATATGCTGTATTAAACAAGGGCACAAGGGATAAGACTGATGCACAAGTTAGGATTTAGCACGACCAAACTTTTTCACAATTTTAAATTAACATCTTTTTTTCTAATGCTGAAGAAAAGAATGACAACATTGTATATACATGTATTGCTAAGAAATTGATGAAGTATTTCTTTACCCATTGCACTTGTACTGGTAGAACTGTTGACAAGTTTTATTGGAAACAAAGCATTAAAAATCTATAATTCTTTATTCAACAAGGCAAAAATGAATTCAAACAGTCAGAGGAATTTGATTATTTTTGTTTCTTTTTCCAGAAACTTGTTGGCCTCAGAGCTTTCTCACATTCTTCCTCGGTCATCCGCGTATCACACCCACCATACTGCCTTGTTCTCACCACAGGTGACTAATAAAAGGTTCCTAAAACCTCAGAAATGCTGCCCGCAATATCAGTGCCTGTTACATGTGTTACAGTTATATATCTAACCGTTACTCCATTTAGGAGGGTGTGACTCATTAGCACTGCTTAATTGTCTGTGACACTGTTGGTTTTGTGGTATTTTCTCATAGGAATATTTTTTTAAGTAGAGTTTGTAGATTTTCTGAAAGTTTTACTTTGGTTTTCTGGAAAATAATACTGTATTAGAGTGAGTTGGAGCATATTGCACTGTAGTGATCTTTTTCTGTCAGTAATGATTGAACCAGAGCAATTTCCAGATTATTCTTCTCAGGAACTAACTATAAGGATTGTTTTCTGATAATTTTCAATTTTCATGAAGTATGTAGAATCTAGAATGAAAAGGTATATTAAAATAGATAGAGGAACTTCAAGACTGTCATGCATCACTTTGGATATTTTTTCAACAGACATTGTTTTTCAGCAGAAACAACCACATGGCATTCGAGCAACAAAGAAACTCACACAAAAAGAGATTTCTCATGAAATGAACTTCTATTTTAGCTGGGACCAATTTACCATGTATTATGTTGCATACATGTACCTTGTGCATTTTGAATCAGCACATTCCTTTTGTTATTACTGCCGCAGCAATAAGCTATCCATCAGTGCGGAAATATGTTTCTAATTATAACAGTCAGATTTATTTGTGGAGGAGGGCACTAGATCTCTTACAACATTTTTTTTTTCGAACTAGACATACATGTATTCTTTAAGTAGTGGTGAGTCACAAGATTTAGTAAGTCAGAAAAGAATTGCTGCAAGGAAACTGCAATGAAACTGTGATGCTGGTCCTTTTAACCTGAAAGTATATTGTAAGTAATGAACATATATTTGTTATACTCAGTGACAGAAAAAAGGGTGTTATCTTTTAGCATTTGTTTTATTTGTGTTATTGAACCACAACTCGATGAATACTACAGTGGATATCTTACTATTTGGTAGATTTGACTGCTGTGTAGAAAATGCATGTACTTCACCACGTGTGCTTAATGGTTTGACACTAACATGTACTGTAACTGAAATATTTTTTGTTAAACTGATTTTATCTATGACATATCAAGCCTGCTGCTAAATGAATTTTCAACTTGACCTGATACAACTAGCCAGAGCTTTGATAAACATGATCATTCATATCAATTTTGCTGTCAAACAAACAATTAATGACATAAATGTTGATTGTTTGTACACAGGGTTTAATTTAAGATTATTAGTGATAATGCTTTTTGTTTTTATGTGGTGCTCACATGCATGCTAATCAATAAATAATCCAGATGAAAAGGGAGGGAAAAAGTGGAGTTGTTGGTACATATAGTCTGTTCAAAGGGGAGGGGATACTTGTAAAACGATGAAAAACATGTATTTTTTTTTGTGCTGAAGGCATGTTTATTAAGGGGTAAAAAAACAAGTATCACATTAAGGCTTTCCAAGCAGAAAATCAGGTTAGGCCAGATCAGTGGTCAGTGAGAATACTGAGGCAAACTACAGAAATAAATCACTGGATATCGCTGTCCAAAACTCTAATTAAAACATCGCAGGGTTTCTGAAGCAGGATGGGCTCTAAGAGATGTGCATTGTTCCGATGTTATTTTAATATTTCTCAAATGTTTATTTTCTTTAGGAACTCAAAGAATATTATCAGTGATATTATCATTGATTAACATACATGTAAAACCACTGAGAAGTGATATTGTAATATAATATCATTGAAAACTGTTGAGTAAACAGTAAATGTGAACCCAGATAAAGAATAGATAATAGTCGAGAAAAAGAAAATACCAATCTTATTATATTCATGAAGACCTTCATTTAATTCAACAGTCTTATTATTTTTTCATTTGATTCATTATATTGTTTTTTTTTTAAATTTTAGTTAAAATTAATTAATCTATTTATTGTAGAATGCTCTCTTTGATTGGTAATTCAAACCAATGAATTTTCATCTTTTTCCAGATGTCTAGTTTGCTGTGAGTGGCTGTGGACAGTGGGATTCACCTCGCTATGGCGAGATCAAAACTCCTCCTCTTCCTCACCGGCTTTTGTGTATTTCATTTCTTTGGATACCTGTACTATACCAGCCAGGAGTATGTCCGCCATCTACAGGCATTGCATGGGAAAACAATCTACATTCAGGGCACTGATGACTTGAGAGAGGTTTTGAAGGAAGACAGTGGCTTGGAGGCCATAGCAAGACATTCTGGGTCATCCGTAAACTTGACAAAACTGCTTACTCATTCGGGCTCCAAAAGTAGTAATTTTAGAGAAAAGGACAGCAAAGGGGAGAAAAATTCTAATGGAATATTAAGAAATGTTGGTTCCAGCCGAACAAGAAAGTTATCCAGTGTTATTGAATCCCAGCAAGAAGTGGTAAATCCTCACGATTTCCCCTACCTGATCAATGAGGAATATGTTTGCCAAAAGGACGGAAAGAAAGAGGAAGTTTTCTTGATGGTTGTAGTCTTATCCTCTGTGCACAGGTACAGGCAACGACAAGCAATTCGGCAAACATGGGGAACTGCAATCAATCAACCTGAATTAAAAACTAAAGTTGTATTCATGCTTGGGAGAACCAATGAGTCCTTTCATGAGTATCAAGTCAGAAAAGAGAGTGAACAGCATCATGATATTATACAAGAGGACTTTATTGACACCTACAGAAATTTATCTATTAAAACTACAGCAGTGCTAAAGTGGTATACAACATATTGCAACCATGCTAAATATCTACTCAAAACTGACGAAGACATGTTCGTCCACATTCCAAACTTGATAAAAAGCTTGAAAGATTCTGGTCCCAAATTTCACAAGTTCATCATGGGTTCTGTGATCAAAGGTGCAATGCCTTACAGGCAAAATTTCTCAAAATGGTATGTTTCAAAGGAGGAGTATAGTGACTCAGTTTACCCAACATACATCTCAGGAACAGCGTATGTTATTTCACAGGATCTCGTAAGTGATCTATATCAGGCAACACTAGTGACACCTATGTTTTGGTTGGAAGATGTGTACATCACTGGGATATGTGCCGCTAAGGTGGACGCCTCACACGTGCATCATTTAGGTTTTCAATATTTTCGACGGAATGAACCTCCTTGTAACTTTGCCAATTTTATCACAGGTCATCGAATTGGTCAGCAGGAAATGAGAAGGATATGGAAGGCTTTGGATGGGCCAAGGTGGTCTTGTTAATGTCCTCTAGCTATGTTAAGTATAAAATTGGTGCTGTAGCAACTTTAAATATATTATAATATCAAGGCAGCTCTATCAATAGGTCATTGCTGTATAGTTTGTTTGACTGAACCACTGATTTATTGCAATATAAATCTGTGCTAATAAACCATTTTAGTTTTTAGTGAGGATGACAATTATTGCATTCAATTTTAAAAAATGTGGGTACATGTAAATCCATCATTGAAAACAATAATAATAGGTTGTTAATGACCAATACTGGATTGCCTTGTTAGGTTATGCATCAGTTTAATCAGTGCCAAAAAAACTGACATATTTTGAGACTTTGTTTCATACGAGTCTTTTAAGCATCAAATGTACATTTGTAATAATATCTTAGCATAATTCTCATTTTCACAAACTGCAGATTAACAATTTCAGTCAACAAAGCCCATTATTATAGGTAATGCTTTTCTGCAGTGTACTGTTGAGTGCCAAATGATATTGAACGCCTTTGACATATTTTTATTATTATTACTACTACTACTACTGCCTTTCATTTGATGGATATATGTAAGTCAATTTTTTTGTAGAAAAATTATGTTAATTTTTTGTTATTGTCAATTATTCTCATCAAGAATATAAAACCTGTGTTAAAATTTCTACTGTGCCAAAATCATTTTACTTTTTACCACAAACATTGCAATATTAAGCTTTTTGTGATGTTAACATTAATTTTGCTGATTAAATTGAATGGAGTGGGCTGTATTGTAATTGACAGTACATATTTTTGTGAACAACATACCCTTAATGTGCATTTTTGTACATTTATAATTAAATATCATTCTGTACATTTGCATTTATTTCCTTTCGAATAGCAGAAGCATTTACATTGTGACAAACGGTAGATATGCAGGTACATTATAGCCGTATATATAATTCTTTGGCCTGTGAACGTATTGCATTTCATTTAACAAACAAAATTTAGCTTTCAAAAAAACATAGGTACAGAATACTTGACATAATAAAATTTATGTTAAATATGCTGGCAATTGTTTGCCTAACGCTGTGATATTGTGAATATGTCAGATATATAGTGCATCAGTTATGTGTGCATAACATGTATTGTCCATTAGTTTTTTCAGCTATCTACCTTATTAAAAAACTCCTCCATCTGTTAACCCATGGTACATGTAGTGTTTAGTTTAGTACAGTAGGCTAAGAGACACAATTATCTGTTATGTAGCATTTGGTCTTTCTGATTTCTGTAATATTTTAATATTAAAATACCAGTTAAACAAGATGAAATTAAGTTTATATAATTTTCATTTGAAAATGTCTATTGAATTAGTGTTAGATTATCAGATATGGTGGGGTATGTTGAATATGTTTTTACTTACTTAATTGAGATAAAATGTGTACTCTACAGCCAGATTCTCTGGTTAAATGCTCATTTCTGCAGTCTTTCAATTTTTCTGCCTCAGTTCCTATTGTGTAGCAGTTAAACCTTACCCAGTTTTTAAATTGATTATTTTCATATTAACATTCATAAATTGTTTCATTTGAACATTTGTCTTTTCATTTATTTTAAATTAAATAATTGTTTAATGCATTTCATGTACTCAGTAAAGATTCTTAGTTAGTTAGTTTGAAGAAAACCCAAAGCCACAGACTCTTGGTAATTTTGCGCACCCGGGTTTTCAATTGTGTAATGCCAAAGACTTAGGCTCTATTCCCATAGATTTTAGATCGATCTATCCCCGCGGGGAGTCTCACTAGATTACTTTCAGATAATCCGACTTAAATGTCCGTCCCGCCTACTACAAGCTCTAAGGGGGTAATTAACTTTCGTGTCCGCCCGGCTGACAGCTATTTAGCGTGAACCCCCAGGGAGTTAGGTCGATCTAAAGTAGGTCCATCTAATCTATGGAAATGGGGTGTTAGATGAAAAGTGATGTGAAAAGAAGTCCTGGTCAGAAGTGCACTCTTGAGGTCAGCCTCACAAATATCAGCAAAATACATCTGGAAAAACTACGTAGGCGGGTGATCAGGGGCGGATTTAGGCCGTCTTCTGGGTCTTCCAGGAGACGGTCAGATTTTCAAGTTTACATTGATGGTATCTATTTTTTTCTGTTGGAAGATGGTCAAAATTGGAGGATGAATCAACAAAGATAATTTGGAAGACTGTCAGTAAATAGCTCTGGATCCGCTCCTGGGTCATGTACCCTGTCTGCCAAGATATAACCAAGGCCACGTTTTTATTCCATAACAAGTATTTTGACTAGTCTATCAGACATAAAACCCAACTCCCACTGGCAATGTGCTTTCTTATTTTAAAAGGAGGGGTTCATTATGAACATTTTTATTGGGATCAAACTATTCATCAAGTACATGTGGTCCACCTAGTTAACAGACAGTTTTACCCATATGCCACCTCAGTAATATGTCCAAAATTTTCAAAAAATAGAAAAAAAATCCTTTGCACTGGAAGAAAGAATTTTACCTCTGCTCAAGTTTTTGGCATATTTTGCCTTTAATTGAAAATTCCTGGGCTTTTTTTTTACCCAGTTTGATTGATGTGTTTTAGTCCGCTAAGTTTCTGGATGTGTTTCTGTGATTGGCATGGTTCACACTTAAAACTGAGATGAAAGAAGGTGAGAGAGAAACTCATGTAACTTAACCCCCAGGGCACCGTTTGTTCATCATAAATAACCTTTAGACCCAACAGTATGGGTGTACTGTTATCAACATTTTTACTTGGTTCAGTAAATATTTTACTGTGTTGATTGTAGAACCTTTTTTGGTTGAATGGTTGAGTGAATTGAAGAAAGGAAAAAAGAACAAACTGTGGTTTTAATTAATAGGAACATTTTTCAGCTATGGTTAAATTTTACACACTGCACTTCACTGAGAAGAATTAAAACTGACTCAATACCCAGAAATATTTTGTAACTGTACATTTTATTTTCAACAGAAAATGAAAACAATTTCAGTAGTTACAAATAAATTTCCCTGGAATTAATACACAAATTTAAGCAGGGTTCACATTTAGAAAGATTGTGGGTTTAGTCAAATGCTGGAAACTGAATAGCTGACTAAGTAAATAACTTTTGTGATATATGTCTAATAGCAAAGCTTGGTCCACAATAACTGTAGATGACATACCTACACAGGTTACTGTCACTCACCACTGTCATCAGATATCAGAGTAAACAAATTAGTGATTAATCTTGGAAAAGGGCTGCATTTTGAGACTGCAAAAATTGAGGTAAGCAGCCCTTGAGATTTTCTGTGAAAGTCAGTTTAGGCTCTTGGCAGTTTAAACCAAGACCAATTTTTGACATAACTTATCCTGGGACACAAGGTCCCAGACACTCCAAATTGCACCATCACATATAATTCACCAAGTAGTTAAATCCAGTTTTAATCACAATAAATATTGCTTGGCAAACACTGCAAAAATAAAAAATATCATTAAGGGTGCCTTTGTTGTACAAAACAATTCATATAAAATCCTCTCTAGATATCAAATTAGAGATGTTGCACAATTCTGTTGATGTTAAACATCTTTAGTGACTTTTTGGCATTGTTTGCCCATGTAGAGCACATAGTTAACGACAATATCTTAAATAAGTCTAGTGCTGAGTTATGGCCGCATATTCTGAATAATGTTATATTACAAGTGTTCACATTTAACAACGATATGCCGATGGACAAATATCCATCCTTAACAAGTACAGCATAGTACAGTGATGTATGGAACACTTGGCAACCTTTCTGTATGACATTATGGTGTGATGCGCTTTGGATCACGGGGGAACATGGACGTCTTCCTCACATTGTCCAAACCTAGGTACAACATGGTCACACGCTCCATACCTAAAAAATAAAACAATGAGAAAAGTAGGTCAAGGTCAATAATGGCCAGGGTCAAGGACACTTGAATCTAGCCAAATCCTTTTGAAAAAGCTACTGTTACTTATTATTTGTGTTAATGTGAACTCAAAATGTAAATGTTTACATGGTCCAAGGCTACTTTTAGTGACGTTTTAAGTAAAACCACTTAAAAAAATTACCAGGCCAGGAAAAAGACATCTTTTAATAGTCTCTACGCCTCTCACACGCCTCCCCACACGTCATCCCTGCGGGGGGACAGTCATTAAATCT